AAATCAACTGGCTATATTTATATGGGTCTATTACTCTCTATTCTGTTTTATTGCTCTATATGTCTGTCTTTTCACCAATACCAAATTATCTTAATTACTGTAGCTCTATGATAAGCCTAGAAATCAAGTAAAATAAGTCCTCTGACTTTTATCTTCTTTAAGAAATCACTTCGGGGCCGGCTGAGTGGCGCGTTGGTTAAGAGCTGGCTTGGGATGCCAGAGGGCCCCTGTTCGGATCCCACATATGAGGGCCAGTGACACTGCCCTCCACAGCTAAGATGCTGAACAACAGCTCGACCTGGAGCTGGGCTGCTGTGAGTCATTGGCGACGGCAGGTGGGTTGCCATGGGCTACCGTGTGTAGCCAGCAGCCAGCGTGAGTGGCCAGCAGCCGCACTGAGCGGCCGTCCAGAAGCCGGCGACTGATCTGCCTTGCCCAGGAAGAGCGCAATGATGGTGCCAACTTGGGCCAGTGAAGCAACATCCTCTACAACTAGACTGAAGAACAAAAGGATAGCAACTTGTCTGTTCCCCTTCCCCCAATTCCCCAATTAAAAAAAAAAAAAAAAGAAATCACTTCAGGGGCCGGCCGACTGGCACATTGGTTAAGAGTTGGCCTGGGATGCCAGCTCTGAGCAGCAGGGCCCCGGTTCAGATCCCACATGAGGGCCAGTGATGCTGCGCCCTCTATAGTTAAGATGGTGAACAACAGCTTGAACTGGAGCTGGGCTGCCGTGAGTCGCTGGTGGCAGCATAGGCTGCAGTAGGGCTGGCCGGCAGGTGGCGTGCATATTCATGAGCTGCCGTGAGCAGCCGTCCAATAGCCGGCGAGCGACTGCCTCATCCAGGAAGAGTGCAATGATAATACCAACATGGGCCAGTGAAGTGACGTCCTCCACAACTAGACTGAAGAACAAAAGGGCAGCAACTTGTCTGTTCCTCTTCCCCAATTCTACAACGCTGTTCCCCTCCCCCAATTCCCCAATAAAATCTTTAAAAAAAGCAAAAGAAAACAAGAAATCACTTTGGTTATTCTAGGTCCTTTGCAATTCTATACACATTTTAAAGTCAGTGCTAGTTTCTTAAAAAAAAAAAATATATATATATATATATACACACACACACACACACACACACACACACACACACACACACACACACACACACCTCCTGCTCAATTTAGATTGGAATTTCATTGACTCTGTAGACCAGTTTGGGGGAGAACTGACATCTTAACAACAGTGAGTGTTCTAACCTATGAACATTGTATCTTTCCATTTATTTATGTCTTCATGAATTTCTCTCTGCAATGTCTGTAGTTCTTAGTGAAGAGGTCTTAGACTTATTTTGTTAGATTTACTGTTAGCTATTTTATCTTTTTTGCTGCTGCAAAATGGGATTAAAATTTTTTTCCCCCAATTTTCAATTGTTCACTCACTGCTAGTATATAAGAATGTATAATATATAACAATGCAATATAATTTTGTCTATTAACTATTTGTTGATGCAAGAAACATCCGTCCAAACCTGTAGAGAAGTTTAATGAGTTTATTTGAGCCAAACTGATGACAATTGCCAGGAAGCAAAATCTCAACGGATTAAGAAAATGCTCTGGAGAATAGCAGTTTTGCAGTTTATTTTATACATTAGAATCAAAGGAGGAGACGTAAGGGGGGTTTACATGAAATCCATTGGTGATAGATTAAAGGGGTGGGAGAAAGGAAAACAGGGAAATCTCTGGGATCGGATAAAAAGTAAAATGGAGAAACACATACTTCTTTTACATTGGTGGGTACAGCATAGTTAACAATTGACATTTTACAGCATATACATATAGTACTTGGGGAACAAGATAACAGTGAGGGGTTCTGTAGTCTGGTGCTTTGGTGCAATGGGTTGTGCCCTGAGGGGTCTGGAAAAAGGTATTATTACTCTGACGTTCCAAGGGTGTTAACTTAGATGCAAAAAAAACAATAGACAGGCTCACTTAAGGTTAAGATTGACCTTTGTCAAGGAAGCTACAGGCCAAGGATGTGACTACCTGCCATGACCCACTGTTAGTTCAGAATTTCTATGTTCAGACCATCCTATGTGGTTGCTTTCAGTCTCTGAGTTTGTAGGGCCCGCCATGCTGGTCTCCCCAGAGCTTGTCAGGTTTAGTATGTGGCCCCTTTTTCATCCACATATTTAACCTGTGAACTTGCTAAATTGTTCTAGTAGTTGTCATAGATTTCCTTGTTGTTTTTTTTTACATAAACAATCATATCATCTGCAAATGGAGGTTTTCCTCTCTCCTTTCCAATCTTTACGACTTTTATTTATTTTTCTTGCCTTTTGGCAATGGCTATAACCTCCGGAACAATGTTGAATAGAAGCGATGAGAATGGATATCTTTGTCTTGTTCCCAGTCTCAGGAGGATACAATTCAGCCTTTCATATTAAGTGTATTATTACACTTAATTTTGGGGTGGATGCGCCTAATCAGTTTGAGGAAGTTCCCATTTATACCTAGTTTGCTAAGAAGTTTTTATTTTTGTTTTTTTTAATCATGACTAGATGTTGAATTTTGTCAAATCTTTCCTGCACCCATTGAAATGATTATATGGTTTCATGGTACTTTCGATTTGCATTTCTCCTATTATGAATGATGCTGAGCATCTTTTTTTGGGTTTAAGAGTCATTTGTGGGCCAGCCGGGTGGCTCAGTTGATTAGAGCATGAGCTTTGAGCAAAAGGGTCACTGGTTCGATTCCCACATGGGCCAGTGAACTGCACCCGAGCTGAGCTGCTGCTGAGCTGCCAATGGGCGGCCAGATGGCTCAGTTGGTGAGAGCATGTGTTCTTAACAACACGGTTGCCAGTTTGACTCCGGCATGGGATGGTGGGCTGCGCCCCCCAGCAACTAGATTGAAAGTAGTGACGGACTTGGAACTGAGCTGTGCCCTTCACAACTAAGATTGAAGGACAACAACTTGACTTGGAGCTGATGGGTCCTGGAAAACACAATGTTCCCTTCCCGAATTCCCCAACACTGTTCCCTTCCCCAGTTCCCCAATAAAATCTTAAAAAAAAGAGTCATTTGTACTTCATTTTCTGTGATTTCTGGGTTTGTAGCCTGCTGAATTACTGGCATTTTCTTATTACTGTCTAGGAGTCGCTTATATAACAAGGATAATTTATCCATGATATGAGTTCAACGTTTTACCCTTTTCCTTTGTTTATTCTTTGACTGTATTTATAGGATTTTTGCCAGCAGAAAATTTGGGGTGTTTGCATCACTGATGTTTCCAATTTGTTCTTGGGCAAGTCCTGGGCTTTGCCTCCCCAGAACCTCCTCATAGAGCTTTCATGTGCCCCTCTTGGGGGCTGAGGGTGCCACCTTTGTCCTGACCCTGTTCCCTTCCTGCTCATTCTCAAAATACCACAGTTGTCAGGGGCCTAGAGACTCCCTGTCCTTCCTGGAGGCAAGAGCTTCCATCTTAGGGCAAGAGATGGGAGTGTGTATATATTTGCATTTCTCTCTGCTGAAGCCACGGAGGAAATGAAAGAAAAATACTATGGCTACGCCCCCACATAGCACTTCCTGCCACAAGCCTGCTGTGGCTCCCACTGCGCTAAGGACACAACCCATACCCCTTCCTTTCACTCACAAGGCCCCACTGACGCCTCTAAATAAGTCTCGGCACACTGTGTCCCTGCCACCCTGCCCTTGTCAGGAACAATCCGACATTGTCCAGCCTCTCAGGCTTTGCCTGGGCTGTACCCTCTAATGGAACTCCTCACACCTTCACATCACTCTCTTGCTAATCCCACTTATCTTTGGATTTAAGTATAAAGTCACCTCCTCCAGGAAGCTTCCCAGACTCAGGTGTCTCTCCTAGCAGCCTGGTGTCCAGGGCCACTGGAACAGTTCATGGAAAATAGGTTTGTGAATTGTCATCTCTCCCATGTGACTGTCAACTCCACTAGTCAGGGACTGGGTCTGCTGTATTCCTTGCTGTGGCAATACTTGCACATAGGAGGTGCCCATTAAGCATCTGTGGGTGATTGAATTAAAGTCAACAAAATACATCCCCAAGCCATTTTAGGGCCAGGATTTATGATGAGATTTCAGAGATTAGAGTCCTCTAAAATATCTTCCCAAATTTCTTTCTGGGGTTGGTATCTTACTAAGGACACTGTCCCCGCCCCAAAAAACAAAACAAACAACAACCACCACCAGTCAATCAGACCCGCTCCTGCTGCCCATTCTGTGTTCTCCTCCCTCTCACCGCTTTTTGCACTGCCAGCTTTCTCTCTGCTCCTTAAACTGCTTAACTCAGTCCCACCTCAGGGTTTTTGTCCTTGAGGCGCCCTCCACCAGGAGAGCTCTTTTGCTCTGCCCCATGTCCCGGCTGGGTTGATCTTGGCTTCTGCACAGAGCTCCCCTGAGCCCTGGCCTGTGCCTGTCCTGTCAGCGGGTTTTCTTTGCTCTCCATAGTGATTAATTGCCCCTCTGCCATGCAGATGGTGAGGTGTGCCCATTGCTTGGTTGGTGCTGTTGCTAGGGCTGCGTGTACATAGGGCACCGTGCACCGAAGAAGGCCTCTGCCCTTCCCAGTGTCTCATGGGAGAAATACCTGGAGGAACTTGACCTTTGTCTGGGGCAACTTCCCAGCCTCCTTCCTGGGGAGACCCAAACCAGTTCCCTTTTCCAGGTGCAAAATTAATTCTTCCAGATGCCCAACCCACACATGCCACAGATGAGTAAACTGAGGCCCAGGGAGCAGGGGAGGGGAGGGGGGGATTGCCAGGGCCCCACAGAGAGTGAGTCTGGAGACTGCTGAGATCCCTATGTGATCTGAGCCCTCCTCTGTGCTGTCACCCCTTCTCTTAGGTCTGGGGTCTCCAGCAGCCTGTTGAACAGGGCCACTGCTGTGCAGGCTTCCGGAACTTTCTGCCCCTCCCCAGCTGGGCCCTCTCGCCTCCCCGCCCCCGTCCCCCACAAGGCCATGACTTTCGGTAAGTGACAGCAGCTCAGGAAGCTGAGGGGCCCACACAGGAAAGAGCCCAGTGGGACTTTCCTGCCTCCGCCACCGGGCTCTGCCCTCCTGTCGTTGGCCTAGAGTTCCCCACCTGCCAGGTAAGATCTGGAGGTACTACATGGCTCTACCCGGGCACAGGGTGGGTGGATGGTTGTGGCTGGGGATGGTATTGTGACAGCAAAGGCAAGTTTGCCTTCCAGGCCTCCAAGTGAGCTGGGGCGGAGGGTTGTGTGGCCTCTGGCAAAGCACTCCCCTTGCTGGGCCTCAGCTTTGTCTGGCATAAAATGAGGCCTCACAGTCCCAGCTCTCAGGACCTACCTGAATCACTTTGCAGGTGTGGGGTGCTCAGCGCCCCCGGAAACAGTTCCCAGCCCAGACCCTCCCAGTCCCCAGACCAGCCATTTCAAGAGGTGGGACTTTTGGTGTTAAAAAATGGCCATTTGGGGGGCCCCGAATCCTGGGGTTTCACCTCTGACTTTTCCTTTTTTTACTTTTGATATTTAAACAATCACGTTTTTTTTTTTAAAAAAAACAACAACATTTATTTTAAACAGAAGAGGCATTGTGTGATTTCGTTTATGTAAAAGGGTAAAAACAAGCAAGATCAGAGTGACAGGAGTCCCAGGGCTTCCGGGGCTGCTAATGTTCCCATTAATGGTCTGGGAGCTGGTGACACTGAGGTGTCCCTAGGGGAAAGTTCTCTCCCTGCCACACTCTCCCTCCCTGACAGTAACTGCCAAACCACCCTTCCTTTCTGGTTTAGCTGGCATTTGTCAAGTGCTCACTGGGCATGTCGCCAAGCATTGGGCCAGTTACTGTGGATTAAACGTGCTGACACCTCTGGGTGGGCTCAGCAGACCACTTCACTGATGCGGGTGGGGAGTTAGCCCATTTTACAGCTGGAAGAGTTGAGCCCCAGTGGTGGGAGCCCTGCTGGGGTCACTCTACCAGGACATGATGGGGCTGGGATTTGAACCCAGAACCTGAAGTCTTCACCTCCTCCAGCCCCAGGTTTATATTTTGGTTGCATTAAAAATGCATTAATGCTGTCCCCTCCCACCCCTATCTCCTACTATAATTTTGCAACCTAATTTTACCCAACATTCTCTTTGTATCTTCTTAATTCAGGTCAGTTTAAGTGGATCTTGCCCACCTCCCCCACTTTTCCTCACTGGGTTCAAAAGCCAACCCTTGCCCTGCCCAGCCAGGGGCCCTGAGCTTTGGGGTCCCCCAGGAGAGAGAGAGAGAGAGAGAGAGAGAGAGAGAGAGAGAGAGAGAGAGAGCGAGCGCTGGAGTTTGGCAGGTGTTGAACGCTGTGAATAAAGAAGGCGTTTTTCTCCTGGGCCCATCCCAGGGAGGTTTCCTGCTATGGGGGCCTGAGATGCTCCTGGGGGGTTCATTGGTGGGAGTGATGGAGATAAAATCATGGTGGTGGTGAGGAGGCGGGAAGACAGACACAGAGGCCCCTGTTGGCAGAGTTATCAGACTGGGTCTGCCCCCAGGGCACACATCACACCAGGTGCATAAGCTTCCAGTCTCAGCCTCCAAAGTGCTTGCGTTCCCATCAGCCCCACCACCCACCCCCACCCAGCAAGTAATGATGACCACCCTTACCCTGGTAAATGACTACATGCACAAGCCAGTACTCATCTGCTTCCTGGTGGGCAAATCTGAACATTTGTGACTGATTGCTCTTGGCAGAGGCTGGGCTGGGAGGTAGTGTAGAGGCTGAAGATTGATTGGAGATGTCTGCCCTGGGCACTGACAAGAGTGTTGGCTATGAGTTCACACAAATCCGGGTTCAGACTAACTACCTTCCAGTTCCCAGCACAGTCCTCACCTGGAGGCTTATGGCTCCTTACCCACCTGGCACACTCAAAACCCTCTCTCTGTTTCTCTCCATCTCTTTCTCTTTCCCTCTCTCTCTGTCCCTCTCTCCTCTTTCTCCAGCTCCATCCCTACCTCACCCAGCAGCATCTCTGTCCCCCTCCCCAACCTCAAGAAGCTTTGTAATCTTGTCCTCTCTGCCCAGAATTGAGGGGCTGTCTCTTTCTGTCCAGGCAGGCTGCACTCATGGCGCCTCCAAGTGAGGAGACACCCCTGATCCCTCAGCGCTCCTGCAGCCTCTCATCTTCAGAGGCTGGTGCTCTACATGTGCTGCTGCCCCCTCGGGGCCCTGGACCCCTACAGCGCCTATCTTTCTCCTTTGGGGACCACTTGGCTGAAGAGCTGTGTGTTCGGGCCGCTAAGGCCAGTGGTGAGTGGGTCTCAAAAAGGCTGGGCCAGGGGGATGGGTAGGGGTGGGAGCCTGGATTGCGAGCTAGAATAGCTTCCAACCTGTCAGCATTGGAGCTGGGGCTTTGAGGGATGAGTAGGAGTTTGGTAAAGGAGAAGAGTGCAGAGGTGATGGCATGTGCAAAGACTCGGGGGTGGGGGTGGGAGGTGGTGGAAACAACTGGTCATCCCTCAAGGTAAAGTGTGTAGTGGAAGGAGGTGCTCTGGGGAGAGAGGTGGGGACCCCTGAGAAGCAGGTGAGTGTGTGGCTTCTCTCCTGAGGGCAATTGGGAGTCCTGGAGTGTGTGTGAGCAGGGAAGGGTCGCAGTGTCAGAGCTAAAGGTGACAAAGACCCCTGTGGGGCTGCGTGGGGACTGCAGAGAACAGATGGGGAGACTCAGAAGGAAGCTGATGGGGGCATTCCCTCAGGCATCCTGCCTGTGTACCACTCCCTCTTTGCTCTGGCCACGGAGGACCTGTCCTGCTGGTTCCCCCCGAGCCACATCTTCTCCGTGGAGGATGCGGGTACCCAGGTCCTCGTCTACAGGCTCCGGTAGGAAGCACCTCCCCCCGCCCATGCAGGTGTGGGTTAGACAATACCAGAACGGGATGACTTTTGCTAAGGGCTTAGGAAATGAGAGTTTGAAACAGCGATCCTACAATGTATCATCTCCCTGAACCTCCCAGTGGGTGCCCCAGGGAGGGCATGATCACTGCCCATTTCACAGATGAGGAAACTGAGGCCAGAGAGGGCGGGTGGCTTGCCAAAGGCATGCAGCAAGACAATGGTACACCCTGGGCTCCGTGAGGTCTTGGTAGTCTGCTACCCCTGAATACCTCCACTCCAGGGTTCTCACCCCTCTTCACAGCTTTTACTTCCCCAACTGGTTTGGGCTAGAGAAGTGTCACCGCTTTGGGCTTCGAAAGGACTTGGCCAGCGCTATCCTTGACCTACCAGTCCTGGAGCACCTCTTCGCCCAGGTAGGGGTCTGTGTGTAGGCCCTCAAAGCAACCCCAGAGGTGGCTTCAGCTAACCCTTCCTGTGGCAACCCAGGGATGTGGGATGGGGGGGTCAGCCCAGGATGGGGGTCTACAAGGCAACCTTAGAACTCACAGTTGGGCTGTGACTGGTCCTCAGCACCGCCATGACCTGGTGAGTGGCCGCTTCCCCGTGGGCCTTGGCCTCAAGGAGCAGGGCGAATGTCTCAGCCTGGCTGTGCTGGACCTGGCCCGGATGTCCCGTGAGCAGGCCCAGCAGCCAGAGGAGCTGCTGAAGACCGTCAGGTGAGGGCCTCCAGGCTGTGGCACCCAGGTGCTACCTGGGTGTGAGCAAAGGTGGCTCCACCAGGGCATCCCAGGGCCCAAGACCCCCATGGGGCTCCCCACCTACAAGCCTGCAGTATGTCCCTGTGACCCAGGCCCTTCAGCCTGGCCCCACACCCCGCTGAGGCTCTAGAGCCCTGCCTCCTGCCCCTAAAAGGCCTGCCTGTGTTTCTGTCTGCCTTCCCCATACTGAGGACCTGCTTTCATGTATATCCCTGAGTGTGTCTCCATGTGGGGCTCATGCCCCAGGGAGGCCACGCTACAGCCTCTCAACTAAAGCCTAGGTCTGTGTGTCCCGGTCAATCCCTGAGGAGACCCCTTCCCACACTCAGGGACCGCTTCCCCCACTCGCAGCTACAAGGCCTGTCTGCCACCTGGCCTGCGCGACCTGATCCAGGGATTGAGCTTCGTGACGCGGAAGCGCATCCGGAGGACAGTGCGCCGGGCCCTGCGCCGAGTGGCCGCCTGTCAGGCTGACAGGCACTCGCTCATGGCCAAGTACATCATGGACTTGGAGCGGCTGGACCCAGCCAGGGCCTCCGAGACCTTCCTCGTGGGCCTCCCCGGGGCAGCTGGTGGTCAGGATGCACCGGGGCTGCTCCGCGTGGCTGGTGGCAGCGGCATCGCCTGGAGCCCGGGAGCACAGGAGGTACGGGAGGATGCTAGCTGGGATCAACCAACGGGGCGAGGCCTAAGAGGGAGGGGCAGGAGAGTGGGCGGTACTCTTAGGAGATGGGCGAAAGAGGGGGAGAGGCTGTGGGAGGCGCTCCGGCAGTAGCCAACTAGAGGTGCGGCTGAGAGAGGGGATGGGAATGAAAATGGGTGGAGCTGAGAGGGAGGGGACTGGTTGGGCGGGTGGGGCTAATTGACAGTACAGGGAGGAGGTGGGACTAAGAGAGGGGGCGGGGCTTTTGTTTGGACTAAGTGAGGCGGGGAGGTAAAGTGGAGCTAAGCGAAGAAGGGGCTCAGGGAGGGGACGGGCCAAGAAAAGGAGACGAGGTTTGGCAGAGGTGGGGTGGGAGAAATTTGGGGATGGTCAGGGAAGGGGTTGAGAGAGGTGAGATTGATAGAAGAGACGGGGTTTGGCAGGGGCGAGTTGGGAAAGGGATGGGCTGGGCCAGGCTGAGAAGGGCAGGGCTCATGGTCATGGGTTGGTGGGGTTTCCTTTTAAGAGGGGTTGAGGACTCCGAGGGACTCCCAACCTCAGTCCTCCCCTTCTCTCCCAGGTCTTCCAACCCTTCTGCGACTTTCCAGAAATTGTGGACATCAGCATCAAGCAGGCCCCACGCGTTGGCCCGGCCGGGGAGCACCGCCTGGTTACTGTCACCAGGACAGACAACCAGATCCTGGTGGGTGTTGGACCCCGCTCCCCGCCTTACCCGAGGGCGGGGACCGCAGCGGGCGCTAATGCGAACCCTCGCAGGAGGCTGAGTTCCCGGGGCTGCCCGCCGCATTGTCCTTCGTGGCGCTTGTGGACGGCTATTTCCGGCTGACCACCGACTCTCAGCACTACTTCTGCAAGGAGGTGGCGCCGCCGCGGCTGCTGGAGGAGGTGGCCCAACAGTGCCATGGCCCCATCACGTAAGGACCAGCCTCCCAGGCCGGATCCACCTGGGTCTGAATCCTGGTCACGCCCCTTCTCGGTGCCTCAGTGTCCCTGCATTCCAGGAGCCTTGGACAAGGGGGCAAATGCTCCAACGGCGCCTGGTGCATAGTCAGTGCTCAGTAAAGTTGGGGTCTCCTTTCTGCTGTTCAGGGCAGCCATTTCCTTCCCTCTGACTCCTGGGGTACCATTTCCTCTCGTTTAATCCCTTGGGTAGAACCCCTGTCTTTTGGCCCATTTTATATACGCGGTGGCTGGATGGGAGGGAATGCTACCTGGTGAGGGTTCCAGGGTTTCAGAGAGACCAGGATTAGAACCCAGGTCTGGCTTCTGTCTTGAACTCTCGGTTCCCTCCTACCTTTCCCCAAGCCTGGATTTTGCGATCAACAAACTCAAAGCTAGGGGCTCCTTTCCTGGCTCCTACGTTCTACGCCGCAGCCCCCAGGATTTCGACAGCTTCCTCCTCACTTTCTGTGTACAGGTCAGTCCATCACTAGGAACCAGGAGGGCAGGGAGGGAGGACTTCCTGGAGGAGGTGAGATTTGAGCTGAGACCTGAAAGATGTGTCAGCACTTGCTTCCTGAAGAAGGAGAGGGAAAAGACATTCCCAGTGGAGGGAAGAGCATATGCAAAGTCTTGGAGATTGAAATTAGCTCAAGGAAGTGGTGCTCAAGGAAGAGGGAGCGAATGGGAGGGTGCTGCCTACTCCCACTCAGGGACCACTCCTTCTTGCAGACCCCCCTGGGCCCTGATTACAAGGGCTGCCTCATCCGGTGCGACCCCACAGGAACCTTCTCCTTGGCTGGCCTTGGCCGACCCCACAGCAGTCTTCGAGAGCTCCTGGCTGCCTGCTGGCATGGTGGGCTGCATGTGGATGGGGTTGCACTGAACCTCACCTTCTGCTGCACCCCTAGACCCAAAGGTGAGCCCATCCTGTTCCCTGAACTGAGCAGTCAATCTGGGGCCCTGCCATTCTGTGTTTGTCACAGCTTTTGTGTGGCAAGTGGCAGAAACTGCAGGTCAAAGTGGTTTAGGGAAGAAAAGGTGATTTATTGGCTTGCAGGATACACAACTGCCTTCAGGCATGGCTAGATCCAGGCACAGCTGAATTTAAGGGATGTCACTAACACTTAGTCTATCTCCATCTCTTGCCTCTTCCTCTGGATGAATTTTACTCTCAGACAAACCTCTCCAATGGGGCAACTCTGAGGTGTGAGTTCTGAGTCTCCCAGAATCCCTAGCAGGACTGAGACCAGGTTGCCCATAGTGCAAGTTGCTCATTGGCGCCCACTGCAGGGTTCCTTCCCTCTGTGTTTCACTTCTCCCCACCATATGGGGACTTCTTGGAGCCTCCTTTCAAATAAACCACATGCCCTGGAATCCTCATCTCAAGGTTGGCTTCTGAGGGAGACCCCAAGCTACAACAGGGAGTGCGCAAACCTTTGAGGGCCTTTCACCTCTGACCTCTGGTTTTCTCCTTCCACCTTCTCCTCTTAGAAAAGTCCAACCTGATTGTGATCCGGAGAGGTTGCAGCCTGCCCACATCATCCCCTGTTCAGCCCCACTCGGGATGCCAGCTGAGTCAGATGACATTTCACAAGATCCCCGCTGACAGCCTGGAGTGGGTAAGGGGCCTCAGGAAATAGGGAGAGCTCAGTTGAAATCCAGAGACCCAGCCTAAATCCACCTTTGCTGTGTGGCCTCAGGCATGTGATGTAACCTCTCTCTGCCTCTGTTTCATTGATCATCTGTAAAATGGGGCCAATACTCCACAAGAGCCCCTTACTGATCTCTCCTGTTGTCCTCTCACCCTCCAGCATGAGAACCTGGGTCATGGGTCCTTCACCAAGATTTACCGGGGCTGTCGCCATGAGGCTGTGGACGGGGAGCCCCGGGAGACAGAGGTGCTGCTCAAAGTGTTAGATGCCAAACATAAGAACTGTATGGAGGTGAGTGAGTAGGAACCAGGCCTTTGGGGTCAGGGCTGGCTGGAGAGAGGGTCATGGAGTCAGAGACATTTGAAAACACAGAAATGTAGCCACAAACAATGAAATATAGAAGGGTTGGGGAATTTAGATGCAAATGAAAAGACCGCAAGAACAGCCAGTGCAAGAGTCCTGAGGCAGGACTGAGCCTCACACATTTAAGGAACAGCAAGGAGGCCACTGGGCCAGAGAGGAGTGAGCAAAGGAGAGGGGAGTGATGTAGATGGAGGCATCAGAGGGGCTGGGCTACACAGGGAAGGCTTGAACCCTTCTCAACCCCCAAATCTCCCACTTCTCTGTAAGAGACTTGAGGTAGATTACAGTGGGGTATTCTAGCTGCTATCAGAAAATCATGATACAGAGTGCTGTGTGCACTCATGGTGGGCTCCAGGGCCAGAGGAGATTGGAGGCATGCCTCCTCTCGAGGCAGGTTTGTGAGCAGCAAGTTTGGGGCCCCTGGTAGGACCCTGGAATGGGAGGAACCCATGCATCTTCTCTCCCTCCTCACCTCCCCAGTCATTCCTGGAAGCGGCGAGCTTGATGAGCCAAGTGTCGTACCAGCATCTCGTGTTGCTTCATGGCGTGTGCATGGCTGGAGACAGTGAGACCTCCGCGCCCCACCCCTGACCTGCCTCACTGAGCCTATCCATGGCCGCATTAGCAATAAACACACAGGGGCCATCACCCTACACCCATGCCTCTCAGTCATGACTCCTTGGGCTGCAGCTCCAGGCTCTAAACCAATCCCCAGCTCCCAGAACTATCTCAAGCCAGACAGACCTGGGTTCCAATGTCACTTCACTGTGTACCCCCTCTGAAGCTTTGCAAAGGCCACATTGCCTCTCCAAGCCCCCATTCCATCCATTTAGTTCAGCCCAATATGTGCCAGGAGCTGGGCACACAGCAGAGAATATGACAGGCTGGCAGGGTGATAAATGATCATGTGTGATGAGGACAATGCAGGGCACCAGGGGGTGGTCAGAGGCCACTAACCCAGCTTGCTGGTCAGACATGGTTCTGGGGAGGTGAAGAGAAGTAGGAATTAGGGAAAAGAAGGAAGAGGGGTGTTCAAGGCAGAAGACATGGAACATACAAAGGGTGGAAGTGAGATGCAGAAAGAGCTCAGAACCTCCCAGGCATTTCAGGCAGATAGTTCTGAGATGGAAGTGGGGAGGTTGGAGAGGAGAGTAGGGAAAGGATGGAGGAGCGGGGGAGGGAGCAGTCAGAGTGGAGAGTTTAAGGGACCCCTGAGGGTGAGGTGGAGGTAGAGCAATGCAGACCTACCTCCCAACTCTGCTGTTCCCTGTGCTGCCACCAGGCATCATGGTGCAGGAATTTGTGCACCTGGGAGCACTAGACACATATCTACGCAAGTGTGGCCACCTGGTGCCAGCCAGCTGGAAGCTGCAGGTGATCAAACAGCTGGCCTATGCTCTCAACTATCTGGTGAGTACTTCTCTGCCTGCTCTACTCTCTATTCACAGGGAGGAGGGGGGAATTGAGGGTGGACTCTGTAGTATGGATAGCAATTTGGCAAGGGTGCAAGGGGAGAGCATTTTAGACTGAGGGAACAGCATATGTACAGGCTCAGAGGTGTAAGAGGAGAAGGGAACAGCTGGTCATATGTGGATATCGATGCGGAGTAGTAAGCAATGAGGCTGGGTGGGGGGGAAGGCTTCCCAAAGTGCTGGGGCCTTGAAGGTTGAGTAGGAGTTCATCAAGAGGCGAAAGGAAGGATGACATGTCACGCTGAAAGAACAGCCTGGGCAAAGGCCTGTAACTGAGAAGGTGTGTTCCATGTCTAGGGTGCATCAGGCAGTTCAGTTGGCAGGAGACCAGGGTGTGGAAGAGAGCTCATGGGAAGGATGAGCAAGGACTGGATTTCAAAAGGCCTGAATGCCAGGCTGAGGACTTTTGATTTTATCTCGAAGGCAATGGGGAGCCATTGGGTGGGTGAGCAGGGTTTGAGAAGCAGAGGGACATAGGTCATAAGGGGTAGACTAACGGAGGCCAGTCAGGCTACCAGTAATCCAGGGAAGATTCTGGAGTATGGTCAGAGCAGTACCAGCTGGGCTTTGAAGGATGTGTAGGAGTTTGCCAGCCAGCATATTCACTCATCAAACCTTCCCTGGCATTTCCCTATGCCCGGTCCACTTAGGAGGACAAGGGCCTCCCCCATGGCAATGTCTCAGCCCGGAAGGTGCTCCTGGCTCGGGAAGGGGCTGATGGGAGCCCACCCTTCATCAAGCTGAGTGATCCTGGTGTCAGCCCCACTGTGCTAAGCCTGGAGAGTAAGTGTGGAAGGCTGGAGGAGGGAGGGGTCTTGTGGGGCAAGGAAGCGATCCCTGACACCATCCCCACCCCTCAGTGCTCACTGACAGGATCCCCTGGGTGGCCCCTGAGTGTCTCCAGGAGGCCCGGACACTTGGCTTGGAAGCTGACAAGTGGGGTTTTGGTGCCACAGTCTGGGAGGTGTTCAGCGGTGTCACGATGCCCATCAGTACCCTGGATCCTGCCAAGGTCAGAGCTCTCCTTTGACAGAAGGGTGGACTAAAGTCCAGCTTGGGGAGGATGGGCAGGTCTGGGGGGGGCCTTCTGAGGGTGCACCAGGGGTGACCAGCCCCTCTTCCTGCCCTCAGAAGCTCCAGTTTTACGAGGATCGGCAGCAGCTGCCTGCACCCAAGTGGATGGAGCTGGCCCTGCTAATCCAACAATGCATGGCCTATGAGCCAGGCCACAGGCCCTCCTTCCGTGCTGTCATCCGTGATCTCAACAACCTTATCACATCAGGTGCCCCCTGGGCCAGGCAGGGTGGGCAGGGCTGGCATGTCATATTGGGCCCAGTGGGAGCAGAGCCCAACCTGGGTGCCTGGTACGACTGGAGTGTTAGTGATTTTAGCAGTCAGCATGGCATTGACAGCTGCTGTAACAAGCAGGCTGCTGAGCTCAAGGTTCAACATGATGGGTGTTTAGTTCTCATTCATTGAGGGTGTCCAGGTCAACAGGCACCTCTCCCTTTGTGGCTCCACCAGTCCCATGGCTTCAAGTCTCTGTTGTCTCCTCTGAAGACGAGAGTGTGGAGGGTTCCATGCTAGGTTTCCATGGGCTAAGCCTGAAGGGGCACCCAGCGCATTTCCCCCATCAGCCTGAGCTCAGTCATGTGGCCACAACTCATAGCAGTGGAGTCTGGGAAGGTCTTTCGGTTTCCATAGCCATGTGTAGTTGCACAGGGTGTGCACTGCCTAAGGGAGCTGCCTTGGCCCAGGGGCATCTTTTTCTAGTCCCTGCAAAGCACCCTTTGGCTTGTAGTAACCCTGCCATGATACACAGAGAAGGTAAGCATGCAGATAGAGGTCACGTAGCAAGTCAGCCGAGAAGGTGTGTTCCTTGTCTGGGGTGCATCAGGCAGTTCATTTGGCAGGAGACCAGGGTGGAAAGAGAGTGGATGGGCCCAATACACTGCTCATTCATTGCCTGTGGCCCCCAGATTATGAGCTCCTCTCAGACCTCACACCTGGTGCCCTGGCACCTCGTGATGGGCTTTGGAATGGTGCCCAGCTCTATGCCTGCCAGGACCCTACCATCTTTGAGGAGAGACACCTCAAATACATCTCACAGCTGGGCAAGGTGAGGTGGGCTGGGCTGGGGGTGGGCAGAGCAGCACCCAGGTACTTGGACACCAACCATGCTGTCCCCCAGGGCAACTTCGGCAGCGTGGAACTATGCCGCTATGACCCGCTGGGAGACAACACAGGCGCCCTGGTGGCTGTGAAGCAGCTGCAGCACAGTGGGCCAGACCAGCAGAGGGACTTCCAGCGGGAGATCCAGATCCTCAAAGCCCTGCACAGTGACTTCATTGTCAAGTACCGCGGTGTCAGCTATGGCCCAGGTTCGTCCCTTACCGAACGAGTGGTCTTCAAATCCCACAGTACCACTTTGGGGTGGTCTGCGAACACCAGCAGGGTCCACAGCAGACACTATGGACTCTTCATTGTTTATCCAGATTCAGACCTACCAGGGGTTAGAATTCCAGCTCCATCCCTTAGCAGTGGGGGTTACCTTGGGCAGGTGATGTAACCTTTCTGAGTGTCAATTTCCCCACCTGAAAAATGGGTCATTATGAGGTTTCAAGGAATCAATGTATATGGTAGAAAGTACTCTAGAGACATTAGTGGTAAGTGTTACTGTTGCCTTCCCATTTTTTTGGGTTTTTTTTTTGTTAAAGATTTTATTGGGGAATTGGGGGGGGGGGACAGCATTGGGGAATTGGGGAATGTTGCCTTCCCATTTTATTGAAAGCAATACTAAGTCCCGGAAGAACCCAAGGTCCCACTCTGAACGGGAGGAAGAATGGGGAGGGGAGTAGATAGAATTGGGTCCCGTGGTGACTCCTCCCGCCTCTCCTGCCTCCTAGGCCGCCAGAGCCTGCGGCTAGTCATGGAGTACCTGCCCAGTGGCTGCCTGCGCGACTTCCTGCAGCGGCACCGCTCACGCCTCGACGCAAGCCGTCTGCTCCTCTACGCCTCGCAGATCTGCAAGGTGTGGGGCTGGGGCCTGCGGCGCCGAGCTGGCTGCTTGAGTTGGGCCGGGAGGGGTTAGCGTATAGTTTCGAGGGAAGGCTGAGAGCTGACGTTTGGGGTCCAGATCAGATTGGAGGTGGGGCTGAGTTAGGGCTAAGATCAGGACTGGAGTCAAGGATGGGGTAGAGGTGGGGTTAGGTTTGGGGTCTGGGTTGACGTTGGATTCCAGGTCAGGCTCGGGGGCCCCTGCCTGGGGTCTATACCCCCTGTCCGCCCGCAGGGCATGGAGTACCTGGGTTCCTGCCGGTGCGTGCACCGAGACCTTGCAGCGCGTAACATCCTGGTAGAGAGCGAGACACACGTCAAGATCGCCGACTTCGGCCTCGCCAAGTTGCTGCCGCTGGACAAAGACTATTACGTTGTCCGAGAGCCGGGCCAGAGCCCCATCTTTTGGTGGGGACCCAGCGCCAGTCCCGCTCCTCCTCCCCACAGCCTTGGTTGGCCCTTTCCTGCGCCACAACCTGGCCCGGTCCTTCCCCACAGCTATGGCTCTGACCTGCCCCAATCCCACTCCCACTAGGTCCCGCCCCGGCAGGCCACAGGGTTGGAGAATCACCCTCATCCCACAGTCAGGGAAACTGAGACTGACCCTGCCAGGACTGGCCCTCTCACAGTCCACCTTCCCTGGACAGCTCCCCTAGCCCAAGGCTACCTACTCCTTTCCCATCCTCTGCCTGACCCCCTCACCCCAAGGCTGCCCCGTCCTTTCCAGGTACGCCCCGGAGTCCCTCTCAGATAACATCTTCTCGCGCCAATCAGACGTCTGGAGTTTCGGGGTCGTCCTGTACGAGCTATTCACCTACAGCGACAAGAGCTGCAGCCCCTCCGCCGTGAGTCGGCTTACTGGGTCCCGAGAACTCTCCCCCTCACCCTTTCACTATGGCTGACCACCCCACCCCACAGGCAGCCCCTTCCATCACAGAAGATCCTCCCTTCCCGCTCCAGCACTGAATGCTCCTCCCCTACCATGGGTTCTCTCCCTTGGCCCCAGGAGTTCTTGCGGATGATGGGATGTGAGCGAGATGTCCCGGCTCTCTGCCGCCTCCTGGACCTGCTGGCGGAGGGCCAGAGGCTGCCCACTCCTCCAGCCTGCCCTGGCGAGGTGAGAGCTGGAGAACTTCCCTCAGTTTCCCACTCTGGGGTCTTGGGCAAGCCAGCTGGCCCCTCTGGCTCTTTCCACCACATTGGCTCTTGGTTGAGAGCTCCTGCTGGCCTCTACTTTGCTGCCCTTTCGCTGTATGGCAAGTCATAAACATTTTCAGAGCCTCAGTTTACCATCTCCAAAATGGGAATTATAGTGCTTTATAAGGTGGAGGAGGAACAGAGGAGTTAACACCCATCCTGTGCTCAGCTCAGAGTCTCACACACAGTCAGTACTCAATAAAATGGTGGGGACCCTTACTGTTTATCATCACAACTTTTGTGGAAGTTTCTGCCATGCAATTGGTCGTTCATAATTAATTCATAAAATAATTTATGGCGCTCAGGCCATAAACATTTATGGAGCGCCGACTGTGTGCTGGGCTGTGTGCTGGTGCTTGGAAACCAGCAGAAGCTAACAAGAACATTCTGGTGGTGTTCAGTGTCTGGAAAGAGATGAACAGGGGGAGACTGATGGAGGAAGGGTAGTCAGGGAGGGTCTCTTAGATGAAATGATGCCTGGAGCAGGAAGTGCCCACCCATGGGGAAAGCTGGCAAGGGCTTTCTCAGTGGAGGACACAGCATCTGCAAAGGCCCTGAGGTGGGAATAAGGTTGGTGTATTTAAATAGTGAGATGGGACTACATGGAGGAGAGAGGAAGTGAGGAGGTGATGAAGGGAGGGAGGAAGGGGAGGGGGTGAGATTTTGTTCTAAGACCCATAGGCAGTCATGGAAGGCTTTGGAGCAGGGGAGGGATGGAGTCTAAGTATATTTTAAAACTGGACAGGAGTCATGTTCTTCCTACCACTTTCATGGGACCCTGTTGTCTCCTACACCCTCAGGTTCATGAGCTCATGAAGCTATGCTGGGCTCCTAGCCCACAAGACCGGCCGTCCTTCAGTGCCCTGGGCCCCCAGCTGGATGCTCTGTGGAGTGGAAGTCGGGGGTATTGTCCAGAGGCATGAGATGCTTGCCTTCCCTGCTTGTCTGGAGGAAGAACTCCACTCATTGTCATTTTTACATCTTCTGCACACAGACCTCTGGGTTCTGGTCTCCATGGACTGGTTGTGTGACTTTGGGCTGGGAGCCGCCCCTCTCTAGGCCTTGTGCTTCCGGAGACTCCCATGCGTCAAATGACATCGTATTGAGGGGGGGCACCCCTGGCTTGCGGAGTAATAGCAGCCTCGTGGCCTTTGGAACTTGTAAAGATTCAAGACAGATACCTCGATGGGGCCCACTGAGTCCTGCCCCCAGAAGCAAGGGACCACATTGAAACTCCTCCCGTCTTCCCATTCTCTCAGAGGATGTCCCTGTCTCATTTTCAGCAGGGAAATTGTGTAACTTTATGTGATCTCAGGCTTCTGTTCCCCCATCCTGCTCTTGCTGGAGGAAGCCAAGGACAAGAGCAGCTGCTCGGGTTGGAAATTCACTTTTGGGGGAAGGAAGTGTGACTGGGATTGTGTGAGGGGCCAGCAGAGGCTGGGGTCCCAGTCCACTCTAACTGTACTTGAGTGTCCCTGGGACTTGTTTCCCCACCTTACACTGGGGCCCTTTCTGACCGGAGGGTCAGCCAGTGATGACCCTGGAGCCTGACAGGAGCTTTTCAGCAGTTGAGGAAGTGAAAGGCATTCTTGGTAAAGGGAACAGCATGTTCTCTTTAGTGAGGAAGCTCAGAGTACAGAGCTTGTTGGAGCCCACGGTTCTGCCACTTATTAGCTATGTGACAATGGGTACATTTCTTCCCCTCTCTGTGTCTCAGTTCCATAGTGCTGGCTCCTCAGCTATGCAGCCAGCTTCTGGAGAGCCTTGTGCAGTTTAAGCCCCCACCATCCCACACTGACCTGCACTAAGTTTTCCTGCCACTTAGGCTCCCAGGAAAGCTTTTATTCGTCTCTCAAAACCCCAGCTATCACCTCCCTGCAGCCTTCCCTGGTGTGTTCCCATCACTCCCTGCCAGCCCTGTACTTCCCTCTGACCTTAAAACTAGGGTGGTGACTGTCCACCTCTGTCTCCTCCAACCTGGAAGCTTCATGGGGGCTGGGCTGAGGTGGGCACTACGGGGACTCTGGGGGTGTTTGTTGAATGAATAAAGGAGTTCAGTGGAAGGCATGTTTTGTTGCTGGATTTGGGCAATGAGGAACCTTGGAGATATATGAGTAGGGGAGGAATATGGTTAGGGCTTGGGGATAGAGACCCCCTAGGGGCCACACTGGGGTCTCAAGGCAGGCTGGGGGAGGAGGGACAGCAGGGTTGGGCATTGGCTGGGTCTCTGGAGGACAGAAGCCCTCCCCCAAGCCCCAGCTGCTGGCCTTGGCTCTGTCCTGGGGAGCTGATTACAGGCTTTTGGTGGGTGGAGGGAACAGGCTGCTCTGCTAGGGTCAGAGGGCAAGGCTGGGTTGGGAGAGCTAGGCTGTGGGGAGGGTTCCAGCATCAGAGAGGCCAAGCCAGTCCCCTGAGTATGCCTCAGGACTGCTGGAAAGATATGGAGAGTGACGGAGAGAGCGAGCAGGGGAGAGACAAGAGACAGATCTCTGTGCCTACTCTCTCAGCCCAGGAAAAGCCACCTGCTTTGGTGAAAAACAGGAGGGAGGGAGCATGTGGGGCTGCTCTAAGCTGGAACAAGATGAAGATTTCAGCTCAGAATCTTCTTTGCCTTGGGTGGAGTATCATCCCCTCTCTCTGCCTTAGTTTCCCTTCTTGGTAAAACAGAGTCATAAGCCCTCCAGGGCACTAGGCTGGCACCCAGTATGTGCTGAGCAAATGTAGCCAGGTTTATTCTGGGCCCTCCAGTCTCTGCCCAGCCCAAGAGGATCCCAATGTAGGAGAGGCAGAGCTGGCCAGGACCCCCAGCCCTAGGGCCCACCCTCCTGAAACCTTGGGCAAGTGTGGGGTCCCCTCTCTGAGCCTCAGTTTCTTTATGTGTACAGCAATAAGGACAAGATTTTGGATGTCCCTGGTCTCAGTTGGCTGGATGGCCACCACCCTGTGGAATTATTATTTCTCAGTTTATGTATTTCACTTATTTAAAATGGTTAAAAATAATAATGATAATAAAGACTTAGCCAGCAGTTCACCTGGGGAGGCATTGGCTCAGAGAGACAGACTCTCGCTGTTGTGCCTGTCTCAGCCTATCAATAACCAACATTGTGGCTGGACCAGCCCCTCTGTTTCTTTTTTTTCTTTTTTAAAGATTTTACTGGGGAGTTGGGGAAGGGGAACAATGTTGGGGAATTGGAGAAGGGGAACAGCCAAGTTGTTGTCCTTCAATCTTAGTTGTGGAGGGCTCAGCTAGCTCAGCTCCAAGTCCAGTCGCCATCTGGCCACCCATCGGCAGCTCGCGGCCGCTCAGCCCAAGGTGCCGTGTTCAATCTTAGTTGTGGGTGGGTATAGCCCACCATCCCATGTGAGAGTTGAACCGGAAACCTTGCTGTTAAGAGCACCACCACAGAGCCGTCCTGCTACCCATCGGCAGTTCAGTGGCAGCTCAGCTCAGGCACAGTTCACTAGCTCATGTGGGAATCAAATCTGCAACCTTGTTGCTCAGAGCTCGCACTCTTAACCAACTGAGCCACTCGGCTGGCCCACCCCTGTGTTTCTTATTATTGGGTTGTCGGAAAAGTCATGATATGTTTTTTCTCTGTTTTTCATTGCAAAAATGCGTCATGACTTTTCCGACAACCCAATATGTTTGCAAGACACCCTTCATCAGTAACCATCAGAGAACTTTGAAAAAAAAAGTTTATTTCTTACAGTCCTGGAAATAACACAGTACACCTGGGACCACACAGTGAGGTGGCAGGTAGAGAGAGAGAACATGCTCAGGCCTGAGGTTCTGCTCTTATTGGAGTAAAGGATGGGGGGACTAGGGTTTCACAGACTCATCCTTTATTGGTGAATTTTAAAAATGAGAGCAGTAATTTAAAGTGTGAAGGAGGGCTGACCAAGTGGCACGTTGGTTAAGAGCTGGCTTGGGACGCCAGCTCTGAGCAGCAGAAACCCGGTTCATATCCCACATGAGGGCCAGTGACGCTGCGCCCTCTACAGCTAAGATGGTGAACAACAGCTCAACCTGGAGCTGGGCTGCTGAGAGTTGCCCGCAATGGCGTAGGCTGCAGTGGGCTGCCATAAGCTACCTTTAGCGTCCGTCAGCTGGCGTGAGCTGCCAAGAGCCGCCATGAGCGGCTGTCCAGAGGCCAGCGACCAATCTGCCTCACCCGGGAAGAGCGCAATGATAATACTAACATGGGCCAGTGAAGCGACGTCCTCCACAACAGACTGAAGAACAAAAGGACAACAACTTGTCTGTTCCCCTTCCCCGATTCCCCAGTGCTGTTCCCCTCCCCCAATTCCCCAATAAAATCTTTAAAAATAAATAAGTAAATAAGAAATAAAGTGTGAAGGAGAAAAGTGGTCCAAATTGTCAGTTATCAAAATTAACCAGCATCTCTAAAACAGAGGCGCCTCAGCGGGGAAGGTCACATGGCACTTTATCTAGTCAGAAGGCTGGCATGTTGTTGAAGTGGTTGCCTCCAGAAGCAGAGCTTAAGTTAGGCACTCACATCACAAAAAAGAGAAAACCCAATGTCAGGGCTTACACTGCACTGGCCCTGACCCTGCCCTTGACCTTATCCTTGGGCCCTCCCTCAGCATGCTCAGTTCCCGCTCCAAGGTCCCCAGCTGGGGAGGGCTAGGCGCCTATAAGAAGGGTGCCCTAGAGGCCCCTGGCGCCTTCTGCCACCATGGACCCCCGCCCGCTCCCCTGGGTACTGGTGTTGCTGGGCCCTGCCCTGGCATTGGCGCTGAGCCGCGCACCCTCCCCGGAGGTGCCAGAGAAGCTGTGTGGCCATCACTTCGTCCGCGCGCTGGTGCGCGTGTGCGGGGGCCCGCGCTGGTCCCTCGAGGCCGGGCGGGCGGTGACAGGCGGCGACCGTGAGTGGGGATTGTGCTCCTGGGTTTCTAAGTGGGGCAGGTGCATGGAGCGCAAGTGGGCATAGGGGCCACGGGCGGGTTTGCACGTGTGGACCGGGGTTCACCTGCTGGCTGAGGGGTGTGTGCAAATCCACGGAGGATGCCTCCTCCCCCAGTGGGAACAGGTGTGAGGAGAATGGAACCAGGCAGCCTTGAAAATGCACTGTCAGATGGCGTCTTTATTTACCATTTTGGTATTTTGATCTTCATGCAGTTCTGCATTCATTTTGATTTTTTAAATTATTGTATTAAAATAGGACTGATCTTGATTGTTGAGTTTTGGTGCTCCCTTAATTTGTGCACCAAGGCCAGTGCTCACTCTACTCACCCTAGTCCTGGCTTTGGTGCAGCGAGCATAAAACAGGTTTATGTGCATGAGTGTCGCACATGTGTCCTGCATGTGTGCGTCTGTGTGACACAGGTGCAAATGGGTGTACAGAGGTGCATATAGCAGGTGGGGGGGGTTGGGAGGGAAGGTTGAGGGTATGTGCTTTTGTGTGCTCACCCAGTGGTTGTGTGTCCGTATGTGACCACTGCCTGCATACCCGTACACATGTATGTGTCACATGTTACCCCTGCGGTCTTCTGCTCTGTGAAGTGTCTGTGTGTTCATGTGATAGGTGACACATGAGAGTATGCAGAGCTGGGGACTTGAGTGAGAGCATGGGTCAAGTGCACACACCTGGGTTGGGGATTAAAACTGTGGCTGGTATACAGTAGACATTTAATAAGCACTCACTATTTGTGTGCATGAGGAGCATTTGGTGGGACATGGAGTGGGATGTGAGCATGCAGGGATGTGTACACAATGTGGGGGGTCCTCTGGGTTCCCCCACCCATACTAAACTTTACTCTGTCCCCAGGTGAGCTGCTGCAATGGCTGGAAGGACAACATCTCTTCCATGGGCTGGTGGCTGATGGGGACCCCGTGCTGGTGCTTGGGCCACAGCCCCTGCCCCAGGCCTCTCGACATCATCACCACCACCGCCGGGCAGCTGCCACCAACCCTGCCCGTCACTGCTGCCTCAGTGGCTGCACTAGGCAAGATCTGCTGACCCTCTGTCCCCACTGAGCTCTCCTGGGGCATGGCTTCAGGGGAGTCACAGACCTAGATCTGGTCTGGTGAGCTCTTGAAGCCACACAGCACCATAAAGCCCCACATCTGGGGGGGACATTGCTGATTACCTCCTGGGGCGGGGCACTCGCCACCTCACCTAGGTCACCTGTCCTCTGTGGAGCCAACTGGGGAATAAAACATACCCAACCCTAGCTTGGAGGATCCTTGGTTTTATGGACATGCCAGACACTGAGAGCCAAATGTCCTCACCTCTGAAGAGCCCCAGGCACTGCCCTCTTTGCATTCACCCCCTCTTACCATACCCCCAATAGTAAATAAATAAAATTACTGCAAAATTCAAAGCAGACTTTTGTATTTTCTCAAGAAAAAGAAACAAGCCTGGGTCGGCTCCCATATGTGCTTGGACCTTGGCAGCCACGGACCCACCTACGTTTCCAGGAGCTTGATAACAATTCAAGAGTCATCACAATACAAAGTGGGGAAACTGAAACCTAGGTAGATGGCTGCTTGCCAAGGTCAGACAGGGAAGGAATGGCCAAGTGCAAGATTTGAATCCAGGTATCTGTCAAGACCCATGGGAAGCTTTAATGTCACTTAAAGGCCACTTAATGATGGACACACACACGGATGTCTGAATGAGTCACAGTGCATATTATTGACACACACGGATGTCTGAATGAATCACAGTGCATATTATTGATCTAACCATTCTCACTAGCATCCTGTCTTCATCCTGAGATAGGGGTTGTACGATATGATGACCTCACTATAAGGTGGGTCCGTGTATGCTGACCCTTCCCATGGGGCTGGGAGAAAGAGTACAGGGTAAAGTGTGCAGCACACCGTAGGTACACAATAAATAAAGGAGAGACGGAGTCAGGACAGAGGACAGCAAAGCACAGTCTTCATGGGAGGAGGTGAGCCAGGGAGGAGAGAGGAGGCTGGGCGAGATAGGGAAGGAGACTTACTGGAAGCAGGAGGCTCAGGCAGGCCCAGATAGGAGCAGACTCACCCTGTGCCTCGCTCTTCTGAGCTCGCTGTCAAGCTGGCAGGGAGACTCAGTCATGGGGGGATTATGAGCTGAGGGCAATTGGGAATCATGGCAGGTGTGTGAGCAAGGGTGGGGTGAGGTCAGAGCTACCTGATAGAGACACCTGCAGCCCCACTTCATCCATTGGTGTATACGGGTATTTTCTACTGGAAATGAGACTTTTACAAGTAAATGTAAATTGGTCTGAGTTAAAACTTATAAATCACTTTTTTTTTAAAAAAGACCTCTAGGTCTTCACAAAACATTTTATTCCCTGAGGACCCACTCTCCAGTCTGCACTCTGCTGTCTGAGGTGACCCCTGCCACCACCCCAATACCTGTGAGGCCCAAGTCCCAGACACCTGTCCAAGGCCAGCAGGGCTGGGGATCACCAGTTTGCTTGGCTCTCCCCAGTCCTAAAGACACACTGGCGTGGGGGCCGGTCCTGAGTCCCAAGAGCTCAGGGCCACTCAAGGGCCTGAACCTCCCCATTCTCTGGGCGCTGGGGTGAGTGTATGCGCTGGTCTTGGGTCCAGTGAATGGGGCCCCTCTAGTCCCAGTAATGTTCCCTGAGTTCTTGGGGAGCCGAGGAGTAGGAGGCTGGGTCTGGCCAGGGACTCTAAATGTTGAGTCCCCATAGGCTGAGACAGACGGCTGCCTCCCTCCTCTGCTCAATGCTTCCACCAGTAGAGCATTTAATACCACAGGCAGGGAGGGGGCAGCCCAATTCATAGCCTCTCTGGCCCCTCCCACCATCTGAGGTGTCCAAGGCTCAGGAAGGGGTCCGGAACTGAACCACTCTTTCCCAGGCTGAAAAACACTTCTCTCTTCAGCTACATGTGAACCCAGGAATTCCCAATCGGCCTTGAACCATGGCCAGAACTCACCCACAATTAAACCACTACCGGTTCACTATCAAGGAGAGGCTGGCCACTGTTGATGGTCCAGCCTATGATCAAGGTTGGAGCTGGGGTGTGGGACCTTGAGTCAAATGGGCTGGAACCAGCAGCAGCAGCTGGAGTCCTGGTAGAAGTGCTTCTACCACGAGCTGCCATGAAGAGAGATGGTCCCTCCAGCTGCGAGTATAGTAAGGATGATGGAACATGGTCTAAGCAGTACTGAGTGTGTAGGGGTTTGCCAGCAAAACTATTCACTCATCAAACTCTAGCACTCTCCTATGCCAAAGGTCTCAGCTTCCTGGGAGGACAACACTGCCCCTTCCTATGGAAGTGAAGTCAGGAGCCTAGAGGCTGGGGGCCCTGGCATCACCTCGATAGAACTTTCGCTTGCCACAGTTGAGGTTGGGCTGGCTCAGTGCATCCCACATGAGCAACATCTCATATGGCAAGAAGCGGTGCACCAGCAGCAGGTCCCGGTAGAAGCAGGGATCAAAGGAGGACAGGCGGGCTGAGGGGGCCCAAACGCCAGCCGTGCGGATACCACTGTGTGAAGTGGGCTTCAGACCCTCCTGCTTCAGGCACATGCCCAGGAAAACGTCATCGATGGGGAAGAGGTCTAGGGTGCGGGAGGCCCGGCGCAGGGCAGTAACTGTGAAGCGGGACAGCAGGAAACCCCCCCCCCCACAGTAGGGTGGGTAGAGCTCTTCCTGTGTCACTATCTTTGGCACATAGTACTTGCTCCAGGGGTGCCGGATGGGGCCCACATTGTAGATCAGGTGCCCCACGAAGAGGTGGTGGTCAGGATTGTGGCCCTGCAGGTAGGAGACCATGTTGTCTGTGTGTGCAAAGACGTCATCGTCGCCATTGAGGATGAAGCTGGCATTGGTGCACCGAGTCTCCTGCCACTGTAGGAAGAGTACCTGCAGGCGGGTGGACAGGGCACAGGGGCTCAAGGGCTGGGTCGATCAGCCTCCAGTCCCTGTCCACTGCCCCAGCCCAGCCAGCCCAGGTGAGGATGTGTCCCTTGGTCAACCCAGCCTGGGTTCAAGGCCCCACTCTGTGAGGTGACCTCAGCAACTAACTGCTACTCTCTGTGCCTCAGTTTCCTACTTTCCATTGAAGTCTCATCTCAGGATCTGCCTCCAGGAGTGATGGAGACCCACAGAGACAATGTTCTATAAAGTGCCAAGAAGTGCTTGAAAATTGTCACGTTTACGTTCATTGCTATTCCTTCCCACTCTGCCTGGCCAGGCCCTGCTGTTACATAATCACGTGTATGATTGTCATTGAACATCTACCTCCCCAACCAGACTCTGGGTGTGGGCTGTGTCTCCTATTTGTGTTATCTCCCCAGCACCTAGTGTGGGCTCAACACTTCATAGGGGTAGGATTCATGTTTGTCAAACTGATGTTTACCCCATGCTTTGGTGTTTTGTGTTAAGAACATGGCAATGTTGAGAGGTCCTGGCCCTCTGCCTGCCTTGGCTTCAGTTTTCTCCATAACAACCTTTGCTACTTGCCTGGCACTGTCCTCAGGGCCTGTCCTGCTTTGACTCTCTAATGTAACAACTGTAGGAGGCAGATGTGGTCTTCAATTCCATTTACAGATGAGGAAACAGAGGAAGTGCCTTGAGCAAGTTCACGTCACACAGAAGTAGCCGCTCAAGGTCTTGTACCCAGACCTGCCTGTACCTACTAGGAGCAGGATCCTGTGTTGGGTCTCTACTCAGCTTGCTCCACCCCCTGGCCCCACCTGGGCAGGACCTCAGAGCCTCCAATTCCTCCTCTGTAGGTGGATTCTCTCTGTTTCTCAGGGGTTCTTATCTATCAAAACCATCTTTATTGAGCACTTACTGCACAGACCTGGGTGGGCCTCACGAGGAGACAGAACCAGACCAAATAAACAGGATGTGTACTGTCCAGCGCCCCCCTAGCCCCGCCCCATTGTCATTGTTATTTGAGCACCTGGCACTGGTCCAGGTGCCTTCTAAATAGCATCTCATGTAATCTTCACAGCAGCTCTCAGAAGTGGGTGAGTCCAATTAATATTGCAATTTCCCTGATGAGGAAGCTGAAGCATAGGGAGGTGAACCATCATTAAGAGCAACACAGAACCTGGACTGGGGTAATCGGGCCTCTAGAGCCAGGCTTGTAACATTGCAACACACTGCCCCCCCCAGAAGAAAAGGTCTTCATATCGCCACAAGGACAGTAGAGGGGATGGGTGGGGAGGCCTGCTGGTCCCCTGGGCCCCTCAGAGGAGGTGGTGGCCATCTGGGCAGGAAGGACATGTGGCCCTGATCAGGTGACCCCCACCCCCACCCCTACCCCGCCGGCCCACCTGCTTGAGCGTGAGGTTGAAGAAGGTGTCGTGGAAGTTCCACTGCAGGATGTCGCCGTGCACCTGTGCCTCCATCGCCAGCAGCCTGTTGACCTTGGGGGCCTCCAGCGGGTGGGGGGCGGTGCCTACCAAGAAGAGGCGGCGCAGTTGTACACCCCGCACCCTCCGCTCTCGGCCCCATGTGCGCCGCACTAGCTCCCGGCGCTCATAATTGCGGGGCGAAGACTTGATGGCCAATAGCAGGAAGGCTGGCTGCGCGCACTTGTCTGGTGGCACGTCCTGCAGGAGCTGGAAGTCGCGGCAGTGTCTATGCAGCAGGAAGTCGCGCACATGCTGTGGCTGTTCCGTGAAGTCCGGCAGCTTCGCCATTGAGGTGTTGGCCCGGCAGGGGGCAGGCAGAGGGTGAGAGGTCTGAGGGAGCCTGGTCAGAGCCGCAGGGGTGGCCAGCGGCTGCTCCAGATCCCCGAAGTGGGGTGGTGACATGTGCAGACTGAGGAGGAAGAGAGTGAAGGTGGCAAAGACCGCAGCCAGGCCCACCGCTGTCCGCATAGGCCGGGAACACCTCATCCTGGTCGCCAGGGTTTGGGATTGGTCCGGAAGCGGGATGGGGAACCTCTGGGTCAGCTCCTGAGGAGAAACACTCACTGAAGATCTCGGATGGGCCAAGCACTTTAACTGAGCTACCTGTGGACTCCAACAGCTGGTTGACCTGTACAGTTACTCAGGTTGGTAAAATATTGAAATTCACCCTCACCTAGTCCCCAGCACCCCACCACTAGCACCCCAACCCATATTGGCTCTCACAGTTTCCCAGGCCTTGCTGGAGATTCGATATTTACAAAGAAAAGTGAGTCATGGGAATGCCAACATGAGGCCCCAGACTCAGTGTGCCCAGAATCTCCCCCCCCCCCCCCCCCCCGCCCCCGCACGCACACAGACACACACCAATTCAATCTGGTCCTTCTCATGTCCCTGATAGCCTAGGAGCCTCCCAGAGGGAGGCGGAGTATTCCCTTTTTATCAGTTGAGAGTGGCTAGGGTCCTTTCTGCTTCCCTTTTCACCTACCCCTCTAGGAAACTCTGAGCTTCTGATACAACCATCCTCCATTCTTTTTATTTATTTATTTATTTATTATTATTAGTTTCAGGTATACTCCATTCTTCTTGATGATTTTTTTTATGATCCTGTGACCTAAGCATGGCCCCTGGCTCCTTATAGACTCCTCAGGCTCAGCACGTCTCAAACAAAGCTATTTTCTTTGTCAAACTCCTGTTCCTCCTTTAAAAGCCATCTCAAATTATCTATTTTCTGGGAAGCTCTCTTTGACCCCTTAGGAAGAGTCCTGATTCCCTGTTTAGCTCCTCTGCCCTGTCTTCTACTCTGGCTCAGTCCTGATCCCATGGAGGTGTCTGTGTTTGGCTTTGTCGTCCCAAGACTGGGGGCTTTCTGGGGGCCCTGGCATTGCCTAGCATGAAGTAGACACATGACAGAAATAGGGAGTGTTTAAATGAATGAGTTTATGAATAAAAGTAAATTCATTAAGTTTCTCTCGGGCAAACTCCTATTCATACTTCAAAACCCCAGCTTTAATGTCTCCTTCTCCTGAAAGCTTTCCTTCCCCATATCCAGGCAGAGCCCTTGGTTTCCCTTCCAGGTCCTTTTCCCAGATTCCCTCAATGTCTTTTTGTCTGGAAAGTTGATGTCTGTGCTATTTTCAGCCCTAAATTTGAGGATCTATTTTTCTAGTGCAGCATGAAAGTGCTGGATTAGACACAAGGCAGGACTTACCCATTCAGCAAACACTTATTGGCTCACTCCAGAGAGGTGCAGACTCTGGAGCCCAACTCCTGAGTTTAAATACCAATTCCATCACTTCCTGCCTTCCACACCTCGGTCTCCTCAGCTATAAAGGGGGCATTTGAACAATCCCCAACTCATAAGGTTGTGCAGGCATGAAGATAGCTCCCAGCACCAGGCATCTAGTGGGCATTCAATGAGTGTTTGTTGAATGAATACGTGAACTTCAGCATGTATCTCAGCCTTCCTCAGGGTGTCTGTGCTGGTCTGGGGTCTCCTTGTTCTCCCTACTGGCACCTGGAACAGTGTGGGGACAGTCAGTGGGTTCTGGTGGGCCCCTCTTGCCCCAAGCAACCCTAACCAGCTATTACCTGGGAGTAAGCAAGAGAGTCGTTTCCATCTAGAGCTGCTAATTGGTGCTGGAGATGGGGACATGGCCTCCCTCCTCGATCCACAAGGCCATTTCCCCAACGTGCCCATCGCTCTCTCTGCACAGCCTGGCCAAAGACTCTCCAGCTAGATGTCTCTCAGAAACGGGGCTCAGATTCCTCCCCTCAGGTTCCATTGTGTGACACTGGGAAAGAAGCTGGACCTCTCTGAGCCTCCATGTAAGATGGGAAATGAACACTATGTAAGAGCTGTTGTGGGGATCTTTTTTTTTTTTTTAAGATTTTTTATTGGGGAATTGGGGGAGGGGAACAGTGCTGGGGAATCGGGGGAAGGGGAACAGACAAGTTGCTGTCCTTTTGTTCTTCAGTCTACTTGTGGAGGACGTCGCTTCACTGGCCAATGTTGGTATTATCATTGCGCTTTTCCCGGGTGAGGCAGCTTGGTCGCCGGCCTCTGGACAGCCACTCACGGCGGCTCTTGGCAGCTCACACCAGCTACCAGCCATTTATGCTGGCTGCCGGCAACACACGATAGTTTATGGCAGCCCACTGCAACAGGGGCTGCAGCCTACAGGGGCTGCAGCCTACGCGGACGCTGGCGACTCACAGCAGCCCAGCTCTAGGTCGAGCTGTTGTTCAGCATCTTAGCTGTAGAGGGCAGTGTCACTGGCCCTCATGTGGGATCTGAACAGGGACCCTGCTGCTCAGAGCTGGCGTCCCAAGCCAGCTTTTAACCAACACACCACTCAGCCGGCCCTGTTGTGGGGATCTTAACCTCAAACACTCTGGGCATAGTCCTGCCTCAGGACCTTTGCAAAGGTGTTCTCTTTGTCTGACATGAACACTAAATAAAAGCCTCAATGAATTGATACAAGGTGACAAAAGGCAAGGGACAAAATGGGGTCTGGTGGCAGGTCTGGATGACATTTAAGCTGGGATGTGATCGTGTATAGGAGCCAGCATGGCTGAGGTTTGGGGGGAAGGTGTCCCAGGGACAGACTGGCAGATGCAAAAGCCCTGAGGTGGGAATGAGCTGGTGAAACCTGAACAGTTGCAAGACGCTGCCTGCAGGTAGCACAGAGCCTGTCTTGTTGTGTGTCATCCCCAGCATGGCTGCCAGCCCTCAGGGATTCTGCTTCTGGCAGGCAGGTCTGGGAGACCCAAAAAGGCAAATTATCTTAGGATGAGACTGTGAAATGACACATGTGACACAAGAATGAACTGAATCCCTGGAAGGACAGCTTTCTGAGCTGAACAGTGGCCTAATCCAGGGTAGATGATGAGAAAGGAGCACTCTGGCAAACCTGGAAGCACCCTGAGCTCCAAGGATGAGAAAGACCTCATGGGCTACAGTAGAAAGACCAAGTCACAAAGTAGTAAATCAGATAGAGATGCCACAGTGTTCTGCCCACAAATGCTGTGAGATAAGGATGTGCCTGAGGGTCCCACCTCCCGAGCCAGGCGCACTCCATTAAGGACCCATGAAAATTAGAGGGTGATTCACCATCTACAGTTTAGAATCTAAATCAAGGGTTTTCAACCTGATTCTGCCCCTAGGGGACACTTGGTAATGCCGGAAGACATTTTTGGTTGTCATAACTTGATTAGGGTGGGGGTGCGGGACTACTAATGGCATCAGGTGAGTGGAGGCCAGGGATGACGCTTACATTAACATTATAGAGTACAGGATGGCTCCACCACAGAGGATGACCCAGCCTCAAATGTCAACATTGTCAAGGTTGAGTAACCCTGGTCTAAACCAACAGAAACTGGAATAAAGAACTCAAAATCAAGTGTGGTCAGAAGAGGAGAATCAGGGAGGTAAAGTACCTTAATACAGGTTTATATAAATTCACCATATGGACTATTTATTATTGCTTATTTATATATTTTCATATATTTATGAAATGTTAAGCCTAAATGGCCAAGGATCAGTTCATTGGGAATGTGTTTTGCAAGTTCTAAACAAGGGCTCAAAAACAAAGGAAACCCCCTCAGCAAATACAAATATTTACAACTCAGCCAAACGTGGGCATTGGGAAGGGGGAAGGCATGAGAGGAGGTAAAAGAACTAAATCGCTCATATTACTGGGATCAGGGTGTCAGGGCAAAATAGAGCCTCTTAGGGTGGCCATTTAGTTTTAATTAATTCCATTAATGCCTGTTTTTTTCCTTGCATTCTTCTTTCTTGTTTGTCAGAACTCTTTGTATATGAAACACCCTTTGTTGGCCACTTGCATTCCCAACTTTTTCTCATCAGGTCTATGGTTTCTCTAACTGGAGGGATCCCAGACCCTATGAGGAAAGAGCAAATGTAAAAGTATGGAGAGGAAAGAAAAGGCATGTAAGGGTGAAATTCGGTAAGTCAATAATGTAATTAGATTTATCTAGTTTGCAGTTTGACACACTGTGAACAATTCACAGTTCACAGATATTAAACCCTGATGAGGTTTAAGAACTCAAGTCAGGGACAGAGAAGGGAGGCTCGCTTCTCCTCCCCTCCTTACACTAGACCTCCATTAATACATACAAGAGTTGCCTCCATTTCCATCCACCAAGTCCCCCTTAAAACCTCAAGTAGAAACCTCATAGCCCCTTAAACCTCAAG